AGGGTACCGTACCAAAGGATGTGGTACCTACCAATCACAGACAGATTGAAAAGATTGTACCAATCTGAGGAGACTGCTGGAGGGATGAGATGGCACGCCGAACATACTCAGACGGATGGAGAGATGACTCATCCATCAGATGCAAGAGCCTGAAAACATTTTAACAATGTACATCCACATTTCGCTAGCAATAGCCGGAATGTGTATCTTGGATTATGCACTGATGGATTTAGTCCATTTGGAATGTCTGGGAGACAATATTCATTGTGGCCGGTCTTTCTTACACCGTATAACTTGCCACCGGAGATATGCATGCGACGAGAGTTTCTATTCATGAGCATATTAATACCTGGTCCAAAACATCCAAAAAGATCTCTCGACGTTTTTCTACAACCACTGATAAAAGAGTTGCAACATTTGTGGTCAACAGGGGTGAGGACATATGATTGTTCAACGAAAACAAACTTTACGATGCGAGCGATGCTTTTGTGGACCATAAGTGACTTTCCTGCATATGGTATGTTGTCTGGGTGGACTACACATGGGAGATTAGCTTGTCCGTATTGTAATGGAATGACATATGCGTTTCAGTTGAAGCATGGTAGGAAGATTAGTTGGTTCGATTGTCACCGTCGATTTTTTCCCATTCACCACCCATACCGAAGAAACAAGAAATTGTTCAGGCACAAAAGGGTTGTTAGAGACACTGCTCCTCCATATTTAACTGGAGAACAAATCGAAGCGCAAATCGATTACTACTGTGCTCCGGAAACAGCTCCTCGTGGTGGGAATTGGCATGTTCCCAGTAATATGCCTGATTCTTATGGTGTTCAGCACAATTGTCACAAAAAGAGTATATTTTGGGAATTGCCATATTGGAAAGATCTTCTTTTGCGCCACAACCTCGATGTGATGCATATAGAGAAGAACTTTTTTGAGAACATCATGAACACTATATTGAATGTCCCAGGGAAGACGAAAGACAACGTAAAATCAATGTTGGAATTACCCGATATCTGCTCAAGGAGTGAGCTACATATACAAAGCAATGGGCAAGTTCCAGTTCCAATATTCAGACTGTCATCAGAAAAAAAGTCTGCGTTGTTCAACTGAGTGGCTTCAGAAGTGAAGTTTCCTGATGGGTATGTTTCAAATCTCTCAAGATGTGTTGAGAAAGGACAAAAGTTCTCTGGGATGAAGAGCCATGATTGTCATGTCTTCATGCAGCGACTACTTCCCTTTGCGTTTGCGGAGCTACTACCGGCAAAAGTACATGAAGCACTTTCTACGGGATCTTGCAGGAGATTTATGAAGTTCAATTCCCGGGAATGGGTTTGAAATGCGTTATCTTCAAGTGTGATTGGTACGACCCCGTCGTAAACAGAGGTGTTCGGATTAACAAGAACGGTGTAGTTGATGTCAACGGTGGACGAAGGTACACCTAATTCTTTTTTTTTTTAATATCAAGGTTTTCAATATTANCTTAATTTTAACGTATTGATCTTTATTTTCGTAGGTACAACAAGTTCGAGCCTTTCATATTAGCTTCCCAAGCAGATCAAGTTTGCTTCATTCCATACCCTCGGCTTACTACCTCGGGAATAAACTGGTTAGCTGTTATCAAAGTTACACCTCGAGGAAGAATAATCGCTGGAGAAGAACCACCATTACAAGAAGAAAAAACCAATGAGATCAAGGAAGCTGAAGCAGAAATTGATGACATCCTACTCATTGATCCGCATAATCGTCAATACGAAGATGTTCCTGATCACTCAACGGACGAAGGTGTAGACGACGAGTTTTTAGAAAATGATGATGTTTCAAGTGATTACGACAATGTATCCGAATGAATTATGTATGTGTTATAAGTTTGTTTAATCAACAAATCAATTGGCATTATATATATGTTTTAATTTTGTTTAATCACAAAATCAATTTGCATTTGGGATTTGAGGTTTATGTGTAGAAAATGTTAGGAGTTTGGTTGTAGAAGAGGTTATAAGTTAAGGAAGTTGTGGTTTGGGGTTTGGGGTTTCGAGTTTAGGGATTTATAAACCCTTTCCTCGTAAAGCCCTAGTAATAGAAAACACGGGCATATCAATTTCCTCGTAATGTTCTAGTAAGGCTTTACTAGGGCTTTACGAGAAAAAAACGCGGGCATAGCTATTTCCTCGTAAAGGGGTTTCCTCGTAAAGCCCTAGTAGAGCCATTACGAGGACCTTACGAGGAAATAAAAACGCGCGCATAGCTATTTCCTCGTAAGGTCCTAGTAATGTCACTAGGGCTTTACGAGGAAACAAAATTCTTTATATATACGCGAGCAATCCGGTTTCTCATTTGCTAGTAACCTTCTCTCTAAGCCCTCTAAAGGTTCTCTCTAATCCGTAGTTAGGTGATTAGATTAGGGAATTTAGATTAGGTGGTTAGTTTAGGGAATAGACTTAATTAACTTAATTTTTATTTTATTTGAATATATTCTAAATTAATATTTAATTTTATAAATTAATTTTAGGTTAAGGAGACAGGAGTTCTTCCATCTCTGAAAGACCTGTACGAGAGGACCCACCGAAACAAGGCTGGGCAGTTTGTAGATCCTACTTCGGAGAGGATCTACAACGAGCTTGTTGCCCGAGTTGACGAGCGCCAGACCCAGCTGACTCAGCAGACTGGGTCTCCAGTCATATTATCCACTGTTGACGTGGATAAGATTTACGAGGAGATAAATAATTGTTTTACTATTAATTTTTAATATTTTTAAAATTTTTCTTAATGTTATTAATATTTTTATTTTCAGGTCGCCCCTAGGAAAAAGGGGCGTATCATCGGGATTGGCTCGGTTAACGATGTCCCTGCAGCGACATCGTCTTATCATCAGGAACAACACGATGTCAATGATCAGCTGCGCTCGCAGTTGGAGGCGACGCAGTCTCAAGTGACTTCGCTCACCGATGATCTCACTTCTGTCACCAATATCCTCGACATTATGGCGGTTGGAAACCCACAAGTGCAGGAGCTGTTGCGTCAGAGACGGGAACGTGCAGGGATTCCAAGTACCCAACATCCTCCGCCATCACAGTCACAGCCGGCAACCAACTATGGAGAGGATTTGCCGAGCCAGGACGACGTTTTGTTCAGTCAGCAATTTCACGACCAGCATCCGTAGTTTCTTTTATTTTTATTTGTATATTATGAATTCAAAAACTTATTGTATATTATCTAGTTATTTATAAAATATTTTGTTTTTTTATTTTTATTTATAATTTGATTTTTTTATTTTTAAAAAATAAATTAATTATTTGTAATTATTTTTTTAATAGGAAAAAAAAATTTCCAAGCAAAATCCTCGTAAAATATTCCAAGTAATATTTTCGTAAAAAGTTCTAGTTATTTCCTCGTAATGTTTCACTACGACCTTACGAGGAAATGTTTACTACGAGCTTACGAGGAAAGCTTCCGAGGACCTTACGAGGAAAATATTACCACGCCTTTACGAGGAAAGCTTTCCTCGTAAATTCGCTACGACCTTACGAGGAAAATGGCTTTACGATGAACGTGTTTCGAGGAAACNTTACTACGAGCTTACGAGGAAAGCTTCCGAGGACCTTACGAGGAAAATATTACCACGCCTTTACGAGGAAAGCTTTCCTCGTAAATTCGCTACGACCTTACGAGGAAAATGGCTTTACGATGAACGTGTTTCGAGGAAACGCGTTTCCTCGTAAGTTCCTAGTAAAAGGCCATTTACTAGGAACTAACGAGGAAAACCCATCCTAGTAATGGACGAGTTTTCTTGTAGTGCATATTTTTTTCGTAATACTACTATATATGATAATCAACTAGTGCATTTGGAATTAAGAAATGACACTTTATTTTTAATTTGTATATGTTATTAACACTTTTGAATACATTCGGTGTGAATAAGAAAGAATCATAAGAAAAAGCGACCAACAACAACAACAACCATCCTCAGTTACACAAAACTTGTTTGTACTATATTTTGGAGAGTTTGGAGGTTCCAGATCAGATTTACCTATCTATTAGTGTTGTTGTAATATAATAATTATGTTTTCATGTACTTTTTTCGAAATCTTTTTATTAAGTTTTTTTCTGTAATATTGTTGCCTAATTCTAGTTTTAAAATATTGTAAATTTTATTTTAATATTTTTAATTTATTTGTGAAATTTAAATTTATAAAAAATTTAAATATTTATAAGATATAGTTTTAAAGACTAAAACAATAAACGACAATATATTTAAAAATCATAAATATGATATGTAATTCTAAGGACTGATAATGATAATCTATATTCGAATTTCACTACTCAAAATTTCAAATTTCAAATTTGATAATTCTTTTTTGGAGAACAATTTTTTTTATATTTGAAGTTATAAATTTTTTTTTTGGAAATGTTCTAAATGAAAAGGATGTAATAAAACATGACTAATCATCGACATATCAATCACAACATCATGGTAATCATTGGTCTATACCCTAAAACTCAAGTAATAAAGATTTTACCTCAAGCATTCTAACCTCACACAATAGGTTTTGTCGGAAGAATCTTTTTGCAAACTTTACCATACATTAATGTTAGGGTTCAAGTTTTGGTTGACTTTGCCTGTTTACAAAAAAAAGTTTTGGTTGACTCTCGTAAGCAATAAACTAGATCCACTTCTCGACATAGAAATGGTATTCAAACCCGATTCAGTGTTGAACGGAAGTTATTCAATAATTATTCCTTGTTGGCCATGTTGAATCTTCGACGTGTGGAGGACAAACGCTAACATTCTTTTTCTTTGAAACATTATCAAAACACAACGATACATCATGTATATTCCTTTAAACCAGTCAAATTGACAATGTATCCATCTTTACCCTATGCACGTCTTCTAGATGAAACTTTCTCTTTGTCAATATTTTGTCTCCCCAAATTTGTATATAAATATGCATGCTACGAGCCCGTAGAAAATCACCATCAAAAGTAACATTTATTGGAGAGGCAAAGAAGAGCTCATCATACGAAATGAAGTCTATCACAGCTTTGTTTTTACTTTTCTGCTTCCTTGTTCCATCTGCTTTGGCGCAGCTCCGATTTGGGTTCTACGGCCGGTCATGCCCTCGTGCGGAATCTATCGTTGCTAATGTTGTTGCCAACCGTTTCCGTCGTGACCGTAGCATTACTGCAGCATTGCTTCGTATGCAGTTTCATGATTGCTTTGTCAGGGTACGTAAGCTTCTCCTTATGTTGTGTGTGTGTATATAAATAGTATTCTAAAAGTCGGTCTAGGTGACGCCTATGAAAATTTCAAGCATAAGTGAAACAATTTTTTTTTTTTTATAAAGGGCTTTTATAAGTGAAACAATTTTTCTAAAATGATTTTTAAACAATTTTCTACAACTAACCTCCTACAAAGTGTTTGATTACCATCTAGTGATTTTTTTTTAACACAAATAAATGTCATTTACTCTAATATATTTTGACGTAGCATTGACTAATCAGTGTTTGGTATGGTTGTGTATAGGGTTGTGATGCTTCCCTGTTGATCGACCCAAGACCAGGAAGGCCATCAGAGAAAAGCACCGGACCAAACGCAAGCGTGAGAGGTTACGAGATCATTGATGAGGCCAAGAGACTGCTCGAGGCTGCGTGCCCCCGAACAGTCTCATGCGCAGACATTGTAACACTAGCCACCAGAGACTCGGTCGCATTGGCTGGTGGTCCAAGGTTTTCAGTACCAACAGGAAGACGTGATGGATTGAGGTCAAGCCCCAATGATGTGAACTTGCCCGGACCAACAATTCCCGTGGCCGCATCCATCCAAGCATTTGCAGCTCAAGGCATGAATGTGAACGATATGGTTACACTTATTGGTGGTGGCCACAGCGTTGGTGCTATTCATTGTAGTCTTTTCCAGGATAGACTTAATGACCCTGCCATGGACCGTACACTGAATGCTAGGTACGTGTGTATATGAATACTAACACAAATCACTAGACTATATATATGTGTTATTCTTTTATCAAATTATATATGTGACCGACTAATACATTTCTTTAAAGGTTGAGGAACACATGCCGTTCTCCAAATGACCCATCGGTATTCTTGGACCAAAGGACTCCATTCGTCGTGGATAACGCAATCTACGGAGAGATCCGAAGGCAAAGAGGAGTCATGAGGATTGATCAAAACTTGGGTCTTGATAGGTCAACTCGTGGAATTGTGTCGAGCTTTGCACAAAGCAATCCACTCTTCAGAAAGAGATTTGCTGAAGCAATGGTGAAAATGGGCAGAATTAGGGTCCTTACCGGACGTGCTGGAGAGATCAGGAGAAACTGTAGAGTCTTCAACAACGGACGTTGATTCTACACTGTCTTTGCCATTGCTTATTTTCACTCTTTTGTGTTTCGTATTTTCCCATTACATTTTTACTCTTTGGATAATAACCGAAAGTTTGTTTTTTCCTGCTATCATATTTTGTTTTTTCCTTAACTGCATTTGTAATGACTTTTTATAATTTCTTTTGTTATTTTTGTTATATGTTATTCTATTGTTTGTGTGTGTTCTTTTGTGGTTTAACTATTTGTTTGTTGTTCTTTATAGTTGCACTTCTAATTATGAACTTACTATGATACTATATAAATGAGACCACTACATATATATAGAAATGGGTCTGATCAAAGAGTTCAAATAAAATATAAATCAAATATATAGGCAACCAAACAATTGAAATGCATATTGTAAGCAGAATTCAAACATTTATCACAAATTTTCAGATCCCTCAACGTATAGGCCGGGTCTTAGATATCTTTTGAAAGTCACAAACTCCCATTTGTGAATGATTACCTAGTATTAACAATTAAGTCCAATAAACGTACTAACCCTTTAGATCATCCTCTTAGTGGTTATAATAAAAATACTCATTAGCTTTACTCTTTTACTTGATGAATTTCTTTAAGCAAAATTTGGTGCATACGAGAAAGCTTATGATCGAGAACGGAGTGATCAAAGTTCTCAATGCATATAAGCATTCTCTAAATGAAGGATTCAATAAAAGATGACTAAGCATCGACAAATCAATCACCACATAATGGTAATTATCTGTCTACCCTAAGACTGAAGTAGTAGACTACTCAGACATAGTAGTCAATACTAAAGAACACGAAGGTGAATAAAGCATACTGACTGTTATATATGTAAATGTAAAGATGAAGAAATCCTTTTTAAAGAAGAAGCGTAGGAAACATTAATCTTCTTGGAGGTCTGACAAAATGAGCTCTTGAAACCAAAAGAGATTAGCTAAATTAATTTTGGTGGTTATAAAAGCTCACAATACATTAAGGTTATATACAAAAACATCTGAACCAGGTTGGATTCGAAACAAATGGGGTCGTAGCTTTCTATTTTGAACAAACATGGTCTGACTTGGTTAATATTTTTTGGAGTGTCTAGGCGAGACAAGCGAGAGCCTCCATAATACTTCCGCGGTGGTACGTGCAAAGAAGAGAAGAGGAAAGGAGTGTTTTGACTGAGTAAATGTGGACTCCTCGGTTTGAAGGATAATTGTCAACCAAGTTATATTCCTCAATGATATGTGTTCACTATAATATGTGTATTGTAGCGTCTTATTTTATTTTGTTGTTGTCGTATTTTTGTCTATCTTGTACCGCAAGAACCAGCCCATGCAGACTTTTCTTTCTTTCTTTTTCTTTTACAACTTGTAAAAAAAAAACTGGAACAATTCCATATTTACTGAGTCGGCATTAAATAAAATCCATTTCTCGAAATAGAAATGGTATATACCTTTTAAAAATTGACAGAATATCGAAAACTGTTTAAAACATATTTCAAGTTGGCCAGAATCAGTCTTTTGACGTATAAAAAGACGTTTATGAAAACATTATTAAAACACAACTACTGTATATACAATGTATTCCTATAAACCATCAGTTGCTAATATCTTCCTTTACCGTGTGCACGTCTTTGGTATGAAACATTCTCTTTGTCAATGTCTTGTTCCTACATTTACATATAAATATGCATCTCAGGGACACAAACAATTACAACACGAAAACTTAGAAACAACACAAAAGTTTTTCTAAGTTTTCACGAGAGGCAAGGAAATGAAGTCAATCACAGCTTTGGTTTTACTTTTCTGTTTCCTTGTTCCCTCTGCTCTAGCGCAACTCAAGTTTGCGTTCTACGGCCCCTCATGCCACCGCACTGGATCTATCATTTCTGCTGTTGTTGCCGAAAGATTCCGTCGTGACCCTAGCATTACTGCAGCATTGCTTCGTATGCAGTTTCATGATTGCTTTGTTACGGTTCGTAAGCTTCTCCTTCTCCTTGTGTGTGACTAAATATATATGGACTCACTAACTTATGTAGATGTAATTATGATCAAGCAATGTTTTGAATGATTGTGTAGGGTTGTGACGCTTCCCTCTTGATCGACCCAAGACCCGGAAGGCCATCAGAGAAAAGCACCGGACCAAATGCAAGTGTGAGAGGCTATGAGGTCATTGATGAGATTAAGAGACAGCTCGAGATTGCGTGCCCCGGAATTGTCTCATGTGCAGACATTGTAGCCCTAGCCACCAGAGACGCGATCAAATTAGCTGGTGGTCCAAGCTTCTTGATAAAAACAGGAAGACGTGATGGATTGAGGTCAAACCCAGCCGATGTGAACTTGCCCGGACCAACAATTCCTGTGTCCGCAGCCATCCAAGCATTTGCACTTAAAGGCATGACTGTGGACGATATGGTTACACTAATTGGTGGTGGCCACAGTGTTGGTGTTATTCATTGCAGTCTTTTCCAGGATAGGCTTAATGACCCTGCCATGGACCGCTCACTTAACGCTCAGTAAGTATTTTGATACATAGAGGATCAAATGACCATCATTTTTATGTATATCTGACTAACTAATACATCTTTTTAAAAGATTGAGGAACACGTGTCGTGCCCCAAATGACCCATCGGTGTTCTTGGACCAAAGGACTCCATTCGTCGTGGATAACTCAATCTACGGAGAGATGCAAAGACAAAGAGGAGTTATGAGGATTGATCAAAACTTGGCTCTCGATGGAGCAACCCGTGGTATTGTGTCGAGTTTTGCACAAAACAATCCACTCTTCAGACAGAGATTTGCTCAGGCAATGGAGAAAATGGGTACCATTGGAGTCCTTACCGGACGTGCTGGTGAGATCAGGAGAAACTGCAGAGTCTTCAACAATGGACGTTGATTCTTACACTATCCTTAATCTAAAGACCAAGAGGAATCCTATGTTTGTTTTCTAACAAATAATCAAATCCGGAAGTGTGCTTTTTACCGGTATCTTGTTTTATTTTTCCCTTCAAAAAATTGATTTGCGTGTTGCATGATTTTTATATAATTTTTAATATTAATTTCTTCTTCCGGATTTGTGGTATTGTATGTTGTCAACTGTATCATCTATGAAAAAAATTTGAATTAAAAATGTGGTTTGGTTTTATGGAACTTACTTGAGGGACCGAGCAGTAAGTGATTTGCCAAGCTCTGCTTCTGGTGGTTCTATGAAGAAGATAGTTTCCGTTTAAGGATCTCATTCTCTTTTCTCAGTTTCATTAGCTTCTGCTTCAATGTCTCGACCTGTCGATATGAAGTTGTGTCCCTCTGCTTTTCAGCTACTGTTGTTCTACTTATAACCACTGCAAAGAATATAAAAGGACCTGCAGTTAGATTTGCAATATACTAACTAAAGAAGTAATGTGAACCCTTACTCTTTCTAACGAGACCTGAAAAGCCAAACTAAAACGGCTCAATAACTTTGTAATTTTCCCACAGATAAAATTGGCGGAGACCCTTTCAATTGCCAGACAGTTTACAAAACCAATCTATCACTTTTAAAAGCTTTTTTTTCACACGTTGAGTAAGTAAAGAGAAGAAACTCTTACATTCCTTCTGGAGACTCTGAAGTTTGTTATTAATATCAATTTTCTCTTCTTGTTCCATTAGAAGACAGTCCTTTAGATCCTGAACCTCAACTTCATCTGTCAAACGATTACATTAGGAAACCATATGCTTAAAGTAACAGAAACACAAACTTAAGGAATTTGAACATCAAGTGTCTTCCAAGTCTTACACTTGGATTCCACTTCAGAATAGACTCGATCCAGCTTCCTCGACATTGCTTGTATATGCGACTTGTTAGTAGCCAAATCCTGGCGCAGCCTATCAATCACCATTTCGTTTGTTGCCTTCTCAACCAAAAGGCTTCTGTACACACACACACAAACAAAAAGATGAAATACAATAACATATCAGCAACAGCAACAGCAACGGTAACAGTAGTGAAAGTTGTGCTTTTAACCTGATTTTATTCTCTAGCTCTTCAACCTTTACTACATGCTTTTGCATAAGGGACTCCAAAGCATTCATATGTTCCTGCCAAAGCTTACAAAAAACATCTCAGAACAGATAGGAACCATCCAAAGCATCATCTCCAGTTTCAAATCACAAAAAAAAAGACTTGGAGTCTCACATGCTCTTTGCTTTTGTTTTCATCATTCACTCTTTTCAGTTCTTCTTTCAATCCGTGGCACTTAGTTCGATGCTCAAGCTGTACATTTTCCAGAATCAAGAATCACACACAAGAAACATATAACTAAAACGATTCAAATGGAAAGGAGACCTGATCGACAAAGTTGTTTAACGATTCTGTGTACAGCTTTTTTAACCTCTCGTTCTCTGCAGTTTCATCACTCAATTAGATACAAAGAATCAAAATCTTAACACAATCAAACCAAAACCAAAACCTTCTTTGAGAGTCTTGTTACTGATCTCAAGCGCCTCTCTTCTACTGGTTTCCACATTGCTCTTGGATCTGAACACGTTCATCTCATTCATCCCGCTTTTGAAATCCTGAGCAAACAAATCAATCTATGAACGATGGATTTTCTCAACGTAATCCTTCAGATTACCTAATCACGAGAAGATCGTAGTTTCTAGTTTTCAATTTCAATCGGATCGATAGCAATCTATATGAAATCATGAACATATCGTAGTTTCTAGATTTCTATTTCAATCGATCGTCAGAAATCTCGATTGAATCTCAGAATCGAATCAAAATCAGAGAAACAAAAAAAAAACAGAATATTCCGAGCAGTACGCGATGAAGAAGAGATCGGAAGAGAGAGTATCGAGAAACTTTAACCTCGTAGATCTGATCGAAGCTGGAGAGAAGCAAACTCATCTGTTCGTCGCTCGTTGCCGCCATGATTCCTTTAGGTTTTTGAGTTTCTTATTCGACTGTTAGGGATTTCAAAATTCGAGAGGGGTTGTTAGGGAACACGTTGAGTAATCTGGACCGTCCATGTCATCGTGTGGTTCCTACTTCAACGTCATAATTCATTTTCAAAATCAAACTTATCTTTTACTTTAGGGTTTTAGGGTTTTTAGTGATTAAAACCTCCAACTATATTTAAATCGGATAAAAAACCTTCAACTAAAATTTTACGTTTTTAAACCTCCAACTGCAAGATTTAAATCGAAACACCGTGTTTCATGTAATTTCAAAAACGACATAAGATTTTTACTATCAATATATATTTTAGTGATTTAAACCTCAAACTATTTTTATATCGAATAAAAAACCCCCAACATAAAATTTTATATTTTTAAATCCTCAACTATTAAATCTTTATTGCTTTTAACCCTCTGTAAATAAAGTCATATTTTCTGAATGAGAAACCGTTAAATTGAAACACAGAGTTTCATGTTCATATAAACGATATAAAATGTTTAAACCCTCTATATCAATGGGCAATGACAATCACAATTCATCCTCAAATAAAAAAATTAAAGTTCTTTTTCTTTTCATCGAAGGTGAGGTAAGTCCAAAAATTCTATTGTTTCTAATTTTAGGATATGATTGTATGGCACTTCTGACAATATATTTTAAGTGTAAAACATATTTACTTTGACTCCAGCTAATATTTAGCCAATCAGGTGAAAAAATTCCAACTTGCGTTTTCGCTAGTTACTGTTGAAACATAGTAAAACTGTTTCATTTTTCTCTCTTGGTTTATATAGAGAAATATGTGTTGCGCTAGCTTTTGTATTGTTTTCCACTTTTTATTTTCTTCTGTCTTTCACCTATTTATTTTACTTTATTTTACCTTAATGGCCCATCGATCATTGCCCAAACATTCCAAAATTGACGCTCAAAGAGCCATCATCTCGAGGGGCGTATTAGGAACAAATGTTCCACATCGGTTGTTGGAAGGGATTATAAGCAATAGATAAGATAGATGGGCCACTCCACTCATTACCAATCGGTTTTAGATTGGAAGCCCATCTACCTTTATATGGTATCAGAACCCATGATCCCCAAAGTCCAACCCGATCCTTATCGATCCAGCCCAAATTCGGTCCATCGGTCTTTGCCCGAACATTCTGAGATTGACGCCAAAGAGCCATCATCTCGAGGGGCCGTATTAGGGAAAAAGGTTTCACATCAGAAGTTGCAAGAGATACTATCTAGTATATAAGATAGATGGGCCATTCCACTTATCACTAATTGGTTTTAGGTTTGAAGCCCATCTACCTTAACAGTACGCAATCAACCCTAGTTATTTCTTTCCTATTTATTTTTTTTATTTGAGGATGAATTGTGATTATCATTGCTCACTGATATAGGGGGTTTAAACATTTCATGCCGTTTATACGATTACATAAAACTCTGTGTTTCAATTTAATGGTTTCCCGTTCAGAAAATATGACTTTGTTTATAGAGGGTTAAAACATTAAAAGTTTAATAGTTAAGGGTTTAAAAATATAAAAAAAAATTGGTAGGGGTTTTCTATCCGATTCAAAAATAGTTGGAGGGTTAAATCCCTAAAATATATATTGATAGTAAGAACCTTGTGTCGTTTTTTTAAATTACATGAAACGCGGTGTTTTGATTTAACGGGTCTCTGTTAAGAAAAACAATTTTGATAGCGGAAGGTTAACGACATTAACAGTTTAATAGTTGGAGGTTTAAAAATATAAAATTTTAGTTGGAGGCTTTTTATCCGATTTAAAAATAGTTGGAGGTTTAAATCGCTAAACACCCCCTTTACTTTATGGTTTAGATTGGTGACATAGTAGAAACTGTAAGTTTATGCTGTAAATTTGAAGTATAAATCAAAGTTACGATTTTATTAAAACTGATAATTGATAACATTTTTGATATATAAGTTGCAGTAGGAATTTTAATAAAAGAATTGAATATATAAACATATAAATAGTTAAATATTTATTACAAAACAAATAAACCATTAAGATGTTTAAAAATAACTAAAAATTATTATAAATTAGTACAAAAATTTCATAAATTAATTTAAAATATGTATTATTTTAAAAATATTATAGTCACTAATAATACTATTTATTCTAATATCAATTTTAAATAAATTAAATGAAATGATAATAATAATAATAATAATAATAATAATAATAATAATAATAATAATAGCATATATTTTAAATTTAAAAATCCAACAACTGAAAAATTATCTATGTGTAGTTCCATATGCACTTAGCCAATCATACTTGAAAATCATGTTTATGTCACAAATGCCCACTATGCCAATATGCTCATATCCCATATATTTTTCCTATAATTATGTTAAAATAATGGACTCTCTAAAATAATTAAAATAATGTAACTTCATATAATTTAAAGTTTAACATACCATGTTGGAGTAAGCTTGAAGTAAAACTTGAAGACCAAGCAATCTAATTCTATAGAGTTATAGATTAGGATAAGGGTGGGCGTTTGGGTTTGGATCGGGTATTTTAGTATTGAGGTCTAGTATCTATTTGGGTATTTTTATATATCAGGTCGGGTTCGGATATTTTTAGTTCGAGTTCGGTCATTTCGAATCGGGTTTCAGGTATTTAGGTTTTGAAAGAAAAAATTAAAGTTCTTCATTGCTGAAGTTTCTTGTATTTAAAATTTTACTACTAACTTAGATATTTTTTAAATGTTTAATAGGTTAGATGATTAATATGTTTGAAAATAAATTATTGACAATAGAAAATTATTAATCTGGTTGTTATTTTTAGATTTTGGATGCAATTTTTGTTAAAAATGAAATAAGAAGTTTAACATGTTTTAAATGAGTAGCAAATCATTTTCTCTTACAATTATTTACATATTATCTGATATGAAGCTAGATACAACATTAATTTAAATATTTTGAATAAAATGAGATAAATAAACTAGCAATAAAATATGTATATATACATATGTTCGGTTATTTTCGGATATTTATTTGGTTTAGGGTATTACCTGTTCGGGTTCGGATATCTAATCTCTCTTAACTCAATATCCATTTAGGTATTTTGGTACTTCGGTTCGGATATTTCGAATCGGATTTGGGTATCGGGTGAAATGTCCACCCCTAGATTAGGAAAATATATATTTTGTTATTCCTAATGTGTTAAGGAAACTATGATTTATATATAACGAGATGCTATTGTATAAGCATAACCTAAGTTTTGGAGATTGAGAGTTTTGAGGTTTTGAGTGGATTTTCCTCAAAGAGATTAATAAGAAGAGTTTCTTATTGTGAGTTATAACTGATGACGAAGTTGCAAATTTTAGACCATTATAAAGAATCCAAAATCGCAAAGTAAAATCATCTTGATAACATTAACCCAGACATATATAAAAGTGAGAACAAAATAAAATTCATATACGTGTTCTGGTTACAAATTTTATAAATTAACTTGTTTCAAAACCTATTACTTTAACCCTACCATATATGTTATTGGTAGGCAACATGAGTCAAATTAGACCACTTAAAACAAATATGAGAACACAATAAAATACATAAGACCAACCATTCAACAAGATCACTACATATATATATATATATATAAACACAATCAGTTTTTCATGTTCAATTGTTTTAGATATTTCCCAGTTTATTAGTTTAAAGTATGTAGAACTATTTAAAATGCATGTAAAATATGATTGAAGAAATTTTATAAAACCCAATCTGCGCAGACGAAAAAACCTAGTATTGATAAAAAGTAAATTTTTATTTTTACTTTATTGGGTGAACAATGATTTATATATAATTTTTTTGGTCAAAACAATAGTTTATAATTACAGCGGAAATTTAAATAAAAAATATTGAATGTGTTTACAACTTTTCTAAGATCACCTCCAATGGGAGTTCTTAGGAAAAAAATAATTAAATAATTAATAGACTCTACAAAAAGTTAAGGATTCGATCTTTAAAATTTCTAAATAAGAACTATTTCTTACCAAATCCGAAATACTTTTTTTTTTAAGAACTCCTATGAATCTCACGATTACGGATGCTCTAAAGATCACTACAAAAAGAAAAGTATACCAAGCTTATAAATCTTTTTTTCTCTCTCAAAAATCAATGATAAATGAAATCACCAGTAAGTGAGTTTAAAAAAAAAAAACTCAAAAGAGTAAATAGATAGAATTCACGAAAGATGGAGATATGACCAACCAACATACATGGTTTTTTTACTTATTCTCTAAGGCGTTAACATTACTTACCAGCCTCCTTATTGATTAGTTGTTGCAGCCAAGGGGAACATAACGAGATGAAGAAGGCTGCGATCTCTGGACTTTGGTAACAGTGGTTGAGATTTTCATGGACACTTGGAGAAGAGGCAGAAAGCAGCCACTGAAGGAAGATTGACAACAACAAAAAAAACTAGAGAAGAAAAATGGAAAAGTACAGAGCCACTGGTAATCGTACCCAAAGGCAACTTGTTGATGATTCTGAGTCTGTTGAATTTGTTTCTCAGGCAATTGTATGTGATTATTCCTCTCTCGTTTTTTTTAGTTACTTTTTGTTTGTTTCTTGTCATGCTTATCTATTGGTGAATGTGTGTAAGAAACACATCAAGGTGAAAGATTTTACGGAGTACTTTCACATATAGCCCCCTAAATATCAAAATGTTGATTCTTCTAGTACAACTGTGGGACCAAGAAAAGTCGTCAAACACCCAATCCCCATAATGCAAAAAGGTTTCTTAGAATATGAAAATGAAAGTTGAGAGAAGGTAACCGGTTGATTCACATCATGCAGCAGAAGAAGTCTTGAAAGCAAAGCAAAACGGCCCATACTGTCTTTTTTCTTGCCTCAGTACAGTGCTAATGAAGCAAAACCCCATTCAAAAGTTTCCCCTTAACATACCCTGTGTAGACACGACTCATAACTCCTTGAGAAATCAAAACTAATGACCACATTCGCAGCTTGAATGTTAATCCCACGTGTATACCAATCTGCAAGACTGCAACAGACATTCCCCGTTTATTCTTAGAAAACCCTGTTATGGTGGTCTAGAACCATCTTTGCCTTGATAACCAAGTTTTGTAATTTTCATGATTGATAGAGAGTTGCAAAAGATAATGAACAGTCATTCATTCCACTGGCTCCAGAAAAACTTTTACACCAACCCTAACTTTAAATTTGTTCCAAATGTGGCTTAAGTTACAAAGAGTTTTATAATCTAAGCTGAGAGAAGAACAAAACCCCGAGTTTTCCTAACATTATTATTGAAGGTGGTTCTTGTTATCTCACTTAAGGATTTATAATTATTCTAACAATTTGCATCAGAAGCAGATAAGACCATCTCTTCAACCAATGATTAATCCTTGTCAAAATGGTTGACCATCTTTTTAAAAAGGTGGTTCTTGTTCTCGAGATCATCTCTCTCTACCTAGTATTATGAGTCTTCTCTATCTGCTTCTCTCTTTCTATAATTTTTTTTTTAAAATCTAGGTGGAGAAATTATATAGATCCATTGAAGAACACAATGGATTTCTACTAGTGAAAAGATTGTACACAAACAGTACCAAGATGGTAATTAAGAAGACACGTCTACTCAGGCCTGTCTCTGAGGGATGGCAAGAGGGGCATGGACACAGGATCCAAAAATTTTTTTAGCATAAATAGTATTGAATCCATATTTTTTTAAAAAAAATTTAGATAAGGGCCCAAAATATTTTGAGGTATCTTAATTATACGTAAAAAAAATATAGCTATTTTGTCAAGCGCCCAAAATTTTTTTGAGACGGGCATGCATCTACTACAGATTTTGTTTTTAGCTGTTCCATAACATAACAACTTAGAGAGGAAACGGAGGAAGCCAGTGAGGAGCCCAGAGACGAATCATAAAACCAGCTTGGCTACTTGAGGTAGGCTTGGGTTTGAAGGAACGTGGGGTTCTAGTAGCGATATTGTAAACACCATAGCCTTCACCGTAGCCTTCACCGACAAAATAGATGGAGTTAGGGTTTAAAGCCGGGAATAAACTGGGCTTGACAACAAAAGGCTCGTTGTCGCCGAGGAATATGCAGAGATCACCAATGTCTTCTGTGTAATACATGTTCATATCTTCCTCTTCTCTAAACACCATGAACCGCTTTGTGCCACCACAATTGAATCTTAATGACTTGCTGCTTTGGACATACCTGCCAAGCCAAACCAAAATGAAAGAACATGTTAATAAAAAATATAATACTCTCACTGTTTCAAAATATATGATGTTTTAGTTGAAACCACAAAAATTTAGAAATAACATTTTTTCCCTAAGAAAAAAAAATTCCCTACAAAATAGCACTAAAAATATAAACTAAAACTAATTCAACCAATCATTAAAAAAATTAAAAAAATATAAAACATCATTGATTACACATTTTTCAACAGAAACAAAAATTAATATCAAAATATCAAAACTTCATGCATTTTGAAACATCAAAAACTATTCAAAACATCATTTATTTGGAAAAGAGAGAGAGAATATTCTTGTAATTATGGCATGAAACACAAATAAAAGCAAATAAACAAGTAAGAACCTCGTTACCATTTGACTAGGAATCGTTGTCCTGAGGGAGACTCCACAAGGTGATGTGTCCTGTGACAAGAATCCAAAAGCTGCAGCTCGGAAGGAGAAAACTGAGGAAGGTTGTGAAAGCGCAACTCATGGAACTCAGGGTCCGTGGATTCGTGACCATCCCAAGACCACAAGTGGTGGCCACCAGAACTTGGCATGTAGAACCGTTGATCTCTCTTGGAATACATCAACTTGGATGCTTCAAAATGATCGAATAGACTATAAGGCAAAGTGAGATGGATCGCCTTAGTGTCACTCGGCTTATATACACTCACCAGACGTCCCGCATACTTGACAGCCACAAGGTAGTCTTGTTCCTCTTCAACGGGAGAAGAGGACATTGCCACGCCAGTTACAAGGTCAGATTGACAACTAACTAGATCAGGCCTAGGAAGCTGAGGGATGAACTTGGGTTTTGATTTAAATTTCAAGGGGTTGCAGAAGTCACTGATTAGTATAGAACGATCGCCCCTTAGATAAACTCCCCATCCATGGGAACTTCCCACCAGCGCAGAACAAACCAACTCTTGGGGAAATGGCTTATCACCGACGATGATGTGTTCTTCTTTGACCGGGTCAAACATGTGGAGCTGTGTCATTCCACCTGGGGAGTCTTCATCACCACAACGGGTGACACGATACAACAAGTTAGGGTTGGTGGTGGTGGAGGTGGAGGTGGAGGAGAACGTCCGAAGGGGTTGGCATCTCTGTGGAAGTGTGTAAAGTAGAGATGAGGAGAAGAACTACAAAAACTAGAGAAAGAGATTGAAGAGAAGAAAACTACCAGGGCAAGTTTGCGGAGAGAGGGCTTGGAAGAGAGGCTGAGAAGCAAAGAAGGCGACGACATGGTTTGGCCTGATTTCAAGAGGGCTTCTGAATAAGAAGATTATGTAAAAAGGATTTCAAAGGTTATGGAATAAGAACATGTATCTCAACTTCTCACCTACTTTTTTTTTTTTTTTTACTATACATTTCTTAGATACCCTACATTTTAGATGGAAAATTAGCATATATATATAACCAAAAATATAATTAACAAACCAATCATATCAATCAAATAGCTAGAGTACATTATGTATTAATTGCCACTTCACCTTTGTATGTGTCTAACTAATTTGTTTTTCTTTTTCTTCTTTTATTAATGTGTTTTCCTCCTTACACTTAATTACTTTCAATTTTGGTAAAAATACAATGATTCGATTTTGTAATTCTCTTAGAATTTTAACTAAATAATATATATATGTTTTGAAGATTTCAAACAAATATATATATTTCTATAAAACTTGATATATAATATTAGGTGAAGAAAATTGGTCTTGGCGGAGGCGTAAACAATAATCGCGTCTTATCATCGTTTATCATTTTTTTACCCATTGCTTTATTCAGTGAAAACATTGAAAAGTGATGATACGAAAAAAATATTTATCCAGCCAAAGTAGATAAAAAAGATTTTGAAAAGTTATGGAATAAAGACATGTACCTCAACTTCTCACCTACTTTTATTTTACTAATAATTTTCTTAGATAATTTCCCTTACATAATTTTTCTTTTCTAAATAAGATATGTTTTGAAAATAAAATGAATATATATTTCTATAAAACTTGATATACTGTATAACGTTAGGTGGAGAAAATTATGTTCTATATAAAGCCTAAAACATATTCTATCTATACTATTATTTGCGAGGTGATTTTTCGCAACGGAGCTCCCACGTTAAAAGTTGGAGTGGTTAATATCGTTTATACCCTTAATGAATAAAATATATAAATCAACCAAAAATAAAAAATGAATTTATATTTATTTGATTAGATAAATGATTTAAATTAATTATAATGATAAGAATTTTCCATAATCTAAATATATATTTAAAGTGATTTTTTCACAAAGGAGCTCCCACGTTAAAAGTTGGAGTGGTTAATATTCTTTATACACTTAATGAATAAAATATATAAATCAGCCAAAAATAAAAAATGAATTTATATTTATTTGATTAGATAAATGATTTAAATTAATTATCATGATTAGAATTTTCCATAATCTAAATATATATTTAAAAATAAAATAAAAAGATAATTCATATATATATTGTGTTGTTATCAGAAAATATATTTAATTAATAAATAATCAACCATAAATTAGAAACAAATTTCACTGATTTGATGACTATTATTATCTAAAAATAGTTGAAATTAATAAACCATAAAATAAAACTGAATTAATATATAAGTAACAATAAATTAATTATATTTAAAAAAGTAAATTTGCTGATTTATCATATTCTCCATAATTTTATGTAATTATACTTATTTATCATGTTTTTTATGATTTTGACTAATGATTAATTATTACCCTTAATTAATGACTAAATAAAATTATTATTATATAATTATGAATGGTATATTAATTAGATTTACTACCCTTAATGACAAATCAATTATAAACTTAATGACTAATTGGATTTATTACTATATAATGACTAATTAGATCTATTACTATATAATAATTAGAAACAAATCTTATTTGTCATGTTTCTTATGATTATAATAAATATAATTATTCATTATATAGTAATAAATCTAATTAGTCATTAAGTTTATGTTTGCTTCGCCATTAAGGATAGTAAATCTAATTGTCATGTTCTTATGATTTTTTACTACCCTTAGTGACAAAGCAAACATAAACTTAATGACTAATTAGATTTATTACTATATAATGACTAATAGTTATTACTATTTGAGCAAAAAAAAGATTTATTACTATATAATAAATAAAATTTTCAATATATAATTAAACATAAGTAAAAACGAATTTCAATGATTTTAGATTTATCTTTATCTAAAACTATTTTATATTGAGTTATAAAAATTTATTAACCTTGAAATAAAATTATATTTTTAGTAATATATCATTAATTATAAATTAAAAACGAATTTCATTTATTTGATAATCATACTTATTTAATTTTTTATATTATGTCTTTATCAAAATTAAAAAATAATTATATTTAAAATAATTATATTAGTTAATATATAATTATTTTTAAATAAAAAAACGAATTTCATGAATTTGATAATTATCATTATCTAATTTTTTATATTGTGTTATACGTCTTTATTAACCTTGAAAAATAATTATATTTGTTAATATATATTTAATTATGAAAAAATAATTCGCAAAGAATTTATATATAGATAGTTTACATTACTAAAGATAATTTTATTATACTTTTTGTTATGTCTAAAAATGATATTAATTTATTACTAAATATTTTAAATTTATGAGTATTTTCACATTTAATTTGTGTAATGACAATTATTTATATGATGATGAAAGAATTTATATATATATAATTTTCTTTAGATTATTATTAAATATTTTGAGTGTATGAACAATAATTTATTATAATTTATTTAAATTGATTATATTTGTTTATAGATATTAGAAACTTATTAAGCCCGCAAGTGCGGGCAAAACACCTAGTTCTAAATAAAACATAAAATTTTGTATACATATAATTTTATTCTGTGTACATGGTATAGCGTAGTATCTTAATATACATGTAACTAATTTTTTTTTTTTTTTTTGTAACTAATATCTGATGTTTTGGTTTATCCGTTTTTTTATGCTAAGGTAATTTTGGCTACCTAGAAATGTTTGGTGTTGTTGATCAGTATTATATGGTGATGGGTTCACACTTATTTCTGATCGTCAAAAAGTAAGTTTTTCTTACAAAATCTAATTATCAGTTTCAATTTTCTCAGATTTCTTACTTAGAAGTTGGTAATGCAGGGATTACTAATTGCTGTGGATCAAGAATTGCACAAAGTGGAGCATAGAATGTGTGCTAGACACATTTACGGAAACTTGAAGAAGAATTTCCCCAAGAGTCCTCAAATGAAGAAGCTGTTTTGGAGGATAGTGGAGAGTTTCAATGAGCCTGATTATAAAGCAAACTTGAAAGCTTTGAAGGAGTACGACAGTGAAGTATATGCGGCATTGATGGTTAGGAGGCCTGAAATGTGTAGTCGGGCATTCTTTAGTACGTCATGTACTTGTGAAGATGCATTAAACAACCACTCCGAGTCTTACAACAGTACTCTAGAGAAAGCAAGGTCAATGCCATTAGTTGAGATGTTAGAAACCATGAGAAGGCAAGCAATGGTCCGGATCGATCTTAGGAAAGTTAAGTCTACCAACCATAAGGGAAAGTTCAGTGAAAAGGTTGGTAAGGTCATTGCTTTAGAGACAAAGTATAGGAAGGATTGTCGAATTTACCCTGGATCTACTGGTGAATTCGAAGTGACTGAGGCTAATATCTCTTACTCCGTTAATATGAAAACAAAGACGTGTAGCTGCAGGAGGTGGGATTTAACTGGTATTCCCTGTCGACATGCACTTCGTGTTGTACACGATAGGAAGAATTACAAGACAGAAAACTTGGTCTCTGATTGGTATTTGACGGAAACTTGGCGGAAGCAATATTCAGACTCCTTGAAACCTGTTAGAGGAATTAAGTTTTGGAAGGCAACTGGTGAATCATCTCTAGAAGCCCCACCAAGGGAGAAATCAAAGGGCAGGAAGAAAAAGCCCCAAAAAAGAATCAAAGGAATCAATGAATCTCCAACTAAGGGAAAATCAGTTACAAGGCACTCACGAATAATGCATTGCTCACACTGCAGTATGGCTGGTCATTACGCAACTTCATGTTCTAATCAAGGTGTTCCCCTAAAACCACGACCCATCAAGAAGAAGAAAGTTCAGAACTCACAAGAAGGATCTCAAGGAGTGGAGTCAATGAGTATTGATGGTGAATAATCTCAAGGAGTGAAGTTATGAAGTTAAGGTTATGTTAGTTTGTGGCTTTGGCTGTGTTGTTTTCTTTCGAAATTGACTATGTTGGTGTTTTTTTTTTTGCTATTCGACTTGACTACGTTGGTGTTCTTTTTTTGCTATTCGACTATGTTGGTGTTTCTATTTTGGTACTTTACCTCTCATTCTACTCTTTTCTGTGTTATTCCTATCTTGAACACTCTGTTTTTTTTTTTTTTTCTTTTTACTCACTTTGTTATTGCCTTCTCACACTCACATTTATTTTTCACTTGTGTGTAACCAAAGATAAGCACACAAACACACCTCTCACGTTTGTTCTTGTTCCTCCGTTTCTTGCGCTTCAAGCTTCTTCTTCTTCTCACAGATTCTATTTTTCTTCTATGCTACTCTTCTTTGTTCTTCTTCTTTTGTAGATTTTAATCAAGGGTTCTATTCCAACAGTTTTGCTGTCTTGTTTTGCTTGTTACCTAAGTGACTTAAATCTTTTCCCCTTTTTTTCTGCAAACTATCGTTTAATTCACATCTCATATGTTTCTTCTTTTCATCACTTCAAGCTGGTCGTTTTGCTCATCATTACTTGATGTCCCCAATTTGATATTCTTGTGATTTAGATGGTTTTTATTTATTGATAAATCTAAAGTTTGATTAACGGTTCATAACATATGTAAAGTTTTGAAACTTCCCGTGTTGTGAAAGAGAAAAAGAAAGATGAACTTTTTCTTTGTGAAACAGAAAAAGCAAGATGAACACAACACAAAAAATGCTGAAAAATCAAGACGACACCGTTTCAGTTAACCGTTCATGAGGTGTTAACGCCGTTGACGGTAACTCTCACGGGTTACGGTGACATTAACAGAGTTAACGTCAAAGCAGGGATACGCACTGATTTTCAAAGATTGGGAATGAGATTCAACTTTTTATTTGGTGGAGGTTTGTTAAAGCGAGTCTTGTATGTATATGTATGGATTTTCCATAATTTCACTTTGTGGGCATGAATTCGCCGTTATCTCGAAATGCACACCAATGAAAAAACTCAACCTGTATGAAACCGTAAACAAAAATGCACTCCACAAATGCATCAAATTAGAGACATAATAATCTTTGACATAACAGTAACTAGAGACATAATAATCTTTGGCATAACAGTAAAACTAGTACAGTAACTACTAGCTAGAGAGATATTGGAGGGATCCAGTAAAAGGCGAGTGATGCTCTGGAGAAGGCTGCAGGAGACTTGGGACGGAAGGAACGGGGTTTTCTAGTAGAGATATCGTAAACACCAAAACCATCTCCTGCAAAATAAATGGAATTAGGGTTTAAGCCAGGGAAGGAGCTTGCCTTGACACAGAAGGGCTCACTATTGCCCAAGAATATGCAGAGATCTCCAATGTCCTCTGTGTAAGACATGACCCTTGTTTCTTTTTCCTCTCTAAACACCATGAAACGCTTGGTTCCGCGACACAAGAAATTGATCTCCTTCCCCGGTTGGTGGTTCTGAGCGTACCATTTGATCAAGAAACGTTCCCCCGAGGGAGACTCAACAAGGTGAACAGTCTTGGAACATGAGTCCAATATCTCCCACTCGGACTGGGTCAACACAGGATGGTTGATGAACCGCAACTCATGCAACTCGGAGCCGGTCATGTCCTCCTCGAAGAAAGCATCATAGGACAGCAAGAACTGGCCGCCAACGCTGGTGGTGTAGAACTTTTCATCACTCTTTGAATACATAACCTTTGACTGGTTAAAATATTGGAGATGGGTCTTAAAGTAGACCGAACCAGAGTCCTTGTGTTTGCCACCAGGCCTAAAGAAGTTGATCACAGGTCCTAAGCAGTTGATAGCCACTGCAAAATCATTGCTCTGATCAGGTGAACAAGTCATTGCGGCGTTAGTGACGCCTAGCTCTTGGGGAAGATTAGGTTTATCCATGGGATGCAAAGGAATGGTTTTAGGGTTTGATTTGGAGCCGCAAGGACTGTAGTAGTCGCTGATATATAAGACTTTCTTTTTATTATTACCATCACCACACCGGGCCTTGAAAACAACCCAACCATGGGACATTCCGACCAGAAAACGCTCTTTACGAAACTCCATGGGAAGTGCCTTGTCTCGCACAATCACTTCATCTTCCTTGACAGGGTCGAAGTAGTGGATGTCGCTTCTTACGTGAAGATCCTCATCAGGGTTTCCATAAACTGTTTGAGCATACACTAAGTAAGGGTTGGTGGTGGTTGTGGAGGAGGAGAACCTGAGGGTTTGGCATCTCTGTGGAGGCGTGCAAAGTAGACATCAGAAGAAGAAAACAGAGAGATAACAGAAAAAAAAAAAAACTAGAGACAGAGAACTACCAGGGCAAGTTTGCGGAGAGAGGAGAGCTTGGAAGAGAGGCTGAGAAGCAAAGATGAAGACATAGCTTGGCCTGCACTGTGCCGCTCTCAAAAGGGTTTTTTGAGTTAGTGATCTCTTTCTTGACTCGATCTAAGACCCCAAATTACTTGTATGTGACTAACTAGTTTTGTATTTTGTTTTTTTTTATATATGTGTTTTCCTATTTATTCTTAATTACTTTCTATTTCTTAAAATACGAAGCTTCAATTTTTTTTAATTTTCCTTTAAAACCATATTTATTTTTTCTAAATAAGATATGTAGTGTTAGGTGAAGAAAATTATATTCCATATAAAACGTATCACATATTCTATTCTATATATAACGTAATTTTATTCTATTCTATTCTATATAAAGATTTGATAAGTATGTAGAACAGTACGTATAAACATTATTTTAAAAAAAATGGCATATGCTAAATATCAAATAGAATGATGAAATCAAAACGTTATATGGTACATACATGTAATAGACATTTGTTTGGATGGAATATATTGGTTGGATATTTTTTGTATACATATCATTTTATTCTATGTATATCATAGTATAATAGACATGCAATAAATATATTATATAACATTTGATGTTTTGGCTTATGCCATTGTTTTTAAACCCAAATTCGGACACTGAACCAGACAGCTTATCAGGTGATTAATTAGGTTACTGGGTCGACCGCGGATGAACTGCGGATCAATACATTAACTAATTTTAATATATAATTTCAATACATTAACTAATTAGTAATTTTATGAAACTTTAATAAATTTATTAAACTAATTAACCTTAATAAATTTAATAATATATTAAATTTATTAAATTAGGTTATATATTTTTAATAAATTTAAAAATTATTAACTAGTTTTGTTTTTGTTTTTTTATATGTGTTTTCCTATTTATTTTTAATTACTTTCTATTTCTTAAAATACGAAGCTTTAATCTTTTAATTTTCTTGTAAAACCATATATATTTTTTTCTTAATAAGATATGTAGTGTTAGGTGAAGAAAATTATATTCCATATAAAACGTATCACATATTCTATTCTATATATAACGTAATTTTGTTCTATTCTATATAAAGATATGACAAATATGTAGAACAGTACGTATAAACATTATTTAAAAAAAAGAAGAAATTGGCATATGCTAAATATCAAATAGAATGATGAAATAAAAACTTTTTATGGTACATACATGTAATAGACGTTTGTTTGGATGGAATATATTGGCTGAATATTTTTTGTATACGTATCATTTATTCTATGTATATCATAGTATAATAGACATGCGATAAATAGATTATATAACATTTGATGTTTTGGTTTATGCAGATAATTGTGGCTACCTGGAAATGTTTGGTGCAATTGAGTATTATTTGTGTTGCATTATTCACTTTGATGGAAATCCACGCCAACAAAAAAAAAAAACTCAACCTTTATGAAATCGTAGTCCGTAAACAAACCAAATGTCTATTACATGTATCTATACTATTAAAACACAAGGATTTTTTTTTTAAATACCTTTCTGCTTTCACAGTATTTACAGATCTACTAGGTGAACGGCCCGCACCCTGTGCGGGCATAAATATGTTCAAAAAATTATTATAATAGTGTATCGGTTTAGAAGTAACGGACGGTACATCATCATACTACCATGGAGAAAAGCCGGTATTCAATATTTGACATTATATGAGAGGGTATAAAATAACGCACATGGTGCGAGCAGTTATTGTGTGTATGTATAATTGCAAAGTCTCAAAATAATTAGTGTGTTTTACGAAAATATTTTCATTCGTCATCTAATGGATTTGCTAAGACTTCTTATAAATAGTGTACAGTTTTAGAAATAACAGATTTTATATTATCCTTTGTAATTAGAATTGTATTGTATATATGTGGTAACTATTACTTTCATTAACTCCATTCTTTGAAGTCTTCACCTTTTAATAAAAGTTAACTATTACTTTCATTTAGTCCATTCTTTGAAGTCTTCCACGACTCTGTAAAAAACAAATATTTCTCAATAAGGGAACATGTTACTCAACAATACAACATTAAATCAGACAAGCATTACTTACTTTTGCCTCTCAAATCCAGAAGGGTACTATAATGAAGGTTACTCTAGAAATAGAATAATTTATTTTTGGGAAAATCGCATAAAAAACATTCAAGGTGACAACCACTTACACTTTATACCCTGGGAGTATTTTATAAGCACTTTAAACATTTAAGTTGGCAACTTTAGCATATTAAATCTCTAATCTGGCTTACTTGTACATCAAGTTAAAAATGTGACCGGTACTGTTTAAAATCGATGACGTGTCGGTTTGTGTTTTTTTTAAAAAAAAACAAATTATTTTACTAATAAATAAGTATAAAAATACATAAAATATAAAAATTCATTAAAAATCATTAAAAATTGAAAAAATCATAAAAAATCATAAACATTAAAAAATCACAAAATAATTAAAATATTTTATTAATAAAATATTAAAAATAAGAAAAATTTAAAAGAAATTATTAAAAAATCCCAAAATAAGAAAATTCACAAAAATTTTAAATAAAATAAAAAGGAAATTTAAATAAAATTAATAGATAAAATAAATATAAATTCAAGAATAAATAATTTTATTTGTTTTATAAAAAACGAGAAAACACTATATTTTTTTAAAAATAATCATTATTTTCAAATGATTCTCGTGAACCAAATCAAAGCAAACAAATTAAATTCCAAGTCATCGTATAAATTAAATGTATATGATATATACCATCAAATGATTCTCGTGAACCAAATCAAAGGAAACAAGTTAAAATCAAAGTCTTTTAGCAGTTATTAAATACCCTATATTAATCTAGTATAATATAGTATAATACTGAAACATGAGTATCTATTGAGTTCAAATGTTGGAGTTAGTGGAACAAGTGAGAGTTTCAATGCTGAGACAAGATTTCCACAAATCTCTAGGATGCAGTAAGGGTGGGCAAATCGTAACTTTTTCGGTTTGGTTTGTTTAGTTCGGTTTTAATATATTTTTTTCAACTGAAATAAACCTTATTTAGTCTGATTCGGTGTGGTTTATGTCCAGTTCAAGTTATATTAAGTTCGGTTTGTTTTTGGATCGGTTTAGTTAGGCTCTCTGTCGCTTAATTTTTTAAAAGAAAAATTATGTTTTAAGATATATACACATAAAGTATGTGAACTAATTCAATATTAAACTGAAACAAAAACTAAAAAAGTCACAAAAAGTATATAAGAATAAAACAAATGAAATTTAACTAAAGTAAAAAAAAAATTAACATCATTAATATGTTTTTAATAAAAGTTAACTATTAAAAAAATGTAAGAAAAATATACAGGAGACAGTGACATATTAAAAAATGTGATAAAAATATCATAGATATCACAATCCCATAGAAAATGTGATAAAAGTTTAAATACAATTCATAAGTAATATAAAATAAGAAGAACAATTATGAATTAAAAAAATCCCATAGAAACCTGCAAAAAAATTGTCAATTTTTTAGCAATTGTAGAATATAAAATAATTTAATAGATTTCTAAATTTTATCGAGACGAAAATAATATTGAATTCGCATATCGCTATTGAAACAAACTGAAAAATGGGTTGTAATCAACTATAAACGGTCTTTCATCTGTGTTATTTATCTGTTAATAGAAAAAAACAAACAAATGTATATATATATATATATATAGTAAATTACATTTTTAAGATCCATATTTATATATATATATATATAATTAAGATAATAGTTTTGGCTTTTTTAAATCTCAAATCACCATTATATTTGTTGTTTTCTAAATGGATAATAGTTTTGGGTTTTTCCAACTCAAATCACTATTATCATATAAATTTGTGCAAGTAATTGATAGCAAAATAAGGTAATCATCATATTTCCAAATTAACTAATTAGGAAATAAAGAACATACACATTTAATGCAATATCACATGTATATAGTTACTAATAAATGACATCATAAAAGAACAAGAAATTTACTTAATAGACATATATTTTCACAAAAATTTAACTTTTAAATTTGTCAATTAAATGTATATTTAAAAAAATACTTCCTAAAAAGATTATTTCGTTTAGAATTA